CACTGCGCGTGCAATCACGGTGAAATCACGTTTCTGTTAGCTCAAAGAAACTTTCAGGTATTTGTTTAATATTTGGGTGAGATTAATTAAAATATTATTGTTTAGGTTAATTGTTAATTTTAATTTCAATTTTTAGTAAAATGGATTCGCGTAAAGAACTTCAGTTACTTCAGTGGCTTGCTGAATTTGAAAATAAAGAAAACAGCGAAAGTTTGGAAAACCTCGATGATAGTGAAGGAAGTAAAATTGATGAGGTAGCGATACAAAATTATAACACGGATAGTGAAATGTCGGCGAGTTCTGAAGATGAGGGGGACTATATTCCTTGCCTCCCCGTTAGTGTATCACGTATTCCTACGTATTTAGGTATGAAGGTTATTCAAATACTTCATTATAGACTTGTTACGATAACATTGTTTAATTTTAGGTAAAGATAATCAAACGATTTGGAAGGTTCATCACGAAAATCGTTATTCTAAAACTCTAGTTAGGAAAATTCTTACCAAAAAACGTGGAGTAAAAGGTTCCGCAAAGGAAAAGAAAATTCCATCAGAGTGTTGGAGTTTATATTTTCCAGATGACATTGTTAAAAAAAATTGTTATATACAGGGTGGTGAATCGTCAAACGGGCCATAGGAAACTCAATGGGAAATTCTAAATTGTTGAATTCCTGCTTCCCTAATTATTTTACACCAAAAGTCATGGGAAACTATTTGTAGAGGACTCAAATATGTATCGAAAACAACTGTTAAAATTATTCTACGACTTAAACGTATTCTAAAATTTTGCTAAAATATAATACATTTTTCTGTGAAAAAATGTGTATTATGTGTTGCGTTTTGTCATATTATTGTTTCTGATATTTGACAATATTTAAATCAATTATATTACATTTATCTATGATTTAAATGGCCAAAATTTTGTGATTTATTGTTAAAAAAAAAATAAGTTGATTAAAAAATGTACTCAGTTGAGGAGAAAAAAGCAATAATAAAAATGTTTTATTCATGTTTTATTATAACATTTGTTATAGTTTTATGTTTAGAAATTATCATATATTATTATTAGGAATAAAGATCACAATAACAGTATATTGGAATTCATTACATTGTTGTATAACTTAACATGGAATTAAATTTTAGTGAATTAGAATATCTTACGTTAAATAAAGATCCGGTAGTGGCAGAAAAAGGTTCGCGCTATTGCCTGTATACAACATTATGCGATTTTTCGTCAACTGAGTACATTTCAGTATATTGATCGATTTGTAAACAATATAATTTATTGTTCACAAAGTAATAATGTGTAAATTAGTACTTGTGTTTGTATATCGTGAGTAGTAGTATTTAGTAAAATTCATTGTTTATAATTTAATCATAAAATAAAAAAATAGACAATTCAAATTGTCAAACATCTGACATTAACTTGATAAAACACAGACGTCATAAGATATATTCTTGCATTACGTGTGGCCTAACTTTTAGGGGTGGCCTGAAAAATGTACTATATTTTTGCAAAATTTTGAAGTACATTTGATTCGTAGAACGGTTTTAACATTTGCTTTTAATTCAGATTTTAGTCCTCTACAAATAGTTTTTTATGACTTTTGATCTAAAATAATTAGGGAAGCAGTAATTCAACAATTTAAAATTTCCCATTGAGTTTCCTATGGACCGTTTGACGATTCACCACCCGGTATACAAACAAATATATTTCCAAACTTCGACAAAATATATCCCGTTCAAGAGATCTGGAAAAGTGCTCATCTAAGTGTGGATAACTTATAGGCTGCGGATGGGCCAGTAATATTCAGAGTAACAATGGGGAAAAATCGGTTTCGTCTTCTACTAAGGGCACTCCGATTTGATGATTTTAGCAACAGAGAAGAGCGTAGGAAAACGGACAAACTAGCACCGATACGAGAACTATTTGACTGTTTTGTGGAAAAATGTAAGGCTAATTATGAAATAGGACGGTATGCTACAGTTGATGAAATGCTGGAAGCCTTTCGTGGGAAATGTGCAATTAGGCAATATATTCCTAGTAGGCCAGCGAAGTATGACATTAAAATTTATTCACTGGCTGATGAGGAAAACTGGCACACTAGTAACTTGGAGGTGTATGTAGGTATGCAGCCAAATAGCCCATTTCAGCAAGATAATAGTTCGGCAGCACTTTAGTGCAAACTAGTGAAACGTTTGATAAAACCTATTGCTAATACAGGTCGTAATATTACATGCGACAATTTCTTCACTTCAGTCCCACTGGCAATATACCTACTAAATAATATGCGGACTACATTAGTGGGAACTCTAAGAAAAAACAAGCGTGAGATACCAACAATTTTTTTCGCTACGAAAGAAAGGAACGAAAATACGTCTATGTTTGCTTTTGGCAAAGAATGGTTACTTACCTCCTACGTACCAAAGAAAAATAAAAATGTTTTAGTTTTGTCGACTTTGCACGATCAAGATATTATCGACCATAAAACAGGTAATGATAAAAAGCCTGAAGTATTAACATTTTACAACCAAACCAAATCTGGTGAATATGTGATCGACAAATTAAAATCTTTATATTCAGTTTTAAGAATAAGTTGTAGATGGCCACTTACAATTTTCTTCAGCCTTTTAAATATTGGTGGCATAAACTGTCATATTATTTACTATGAAAATACTAGTGTTGAATTACCACGACGTAAATTTTTACCTACTGCTGATTATAACATACACCTGATAACTCAAAAACATTCAACCTAAATGAAAAGCTTTATTTTTAAAACTTGTATATAATTGAAGTAGAAAGCCATTCATAGCAGAACTTATTAAAAATGTTGAGGTAAAAAGTTTTAGGAGTAACTGATTAATTGGCCTAATACCTTAGTTTAATTTTTCATTACAACGGTTTTAAAAAAGAATCTGGTGAAATTGTTATTAACTTCTTTGGGTGGAAATCAAGCTTCTATAACTACTCTTTTTAGTTTTTAAACAAGCCACAGAACAATTCTAGAACATAATATATGAACGTTGAGAATTTATGTTGCTGTACCTTTTATATTTAAATAAAAATATAAACACACTTTGAAATACATATAAGATACATATGTTTAATTATCTATCAATTACATCATATAACTCTGAGATATTCATACATTTACGTAGATATTTTTTAAAAATCACACTTCTTATTATACATGTATACAAAAAAAATTCAAACTAATGAATATAGTGTAAAAAGAAATATATATATAAAAAGGTAATACGTTTGAATATAGTAATATTAATAGCACAAAAGTAAAAATACGTTCTATCTTTGTCTGAATTTGTAATACATTTTTTAGCACAAAAAGGCAATATTTCATTTTAGTACGATCAAGGTTATTCTAAATATGTATAGTGAGACCGACTTAGATTGCAAACACCCCCTAAAAAATTATTACGCCAATGGATTCAGAGTACCTCCACATACCTGTGAGCGACATGTCATAAATTTATTTAAATAATTAACATTCATTAAAGTGAAAAAAGTTGACTGTCAGTTTAGTTGGTTTCCGAATTTTAACTTCAATATTAAAAAATATATTCTTATGCAATGTAATCATTGCTAACTCTAGATACGCTAAATTCAGTGGCGTTATACATATTTTTAAGAACCAAGTTGCTAATAAAAATTTTCCATTTTCAACTTCGAAAAATTTTGGTAGCATGCCCTAAAAGTTTAAATTTAATTGGCTTCCCTTTTATTATTTAATAGTATTTTAAAAAATGGTTGAAATCAGTTAATAACAAACAAATTTTACAGGGGTGTATTAAATTCTATATATATATATATATATATATATATATATATATATATATATATATATATAGAATGGAAGGGAAGAATTGAAAGAGTTAAGACGATTCCACGTATATATATTTCACCAAAAGGGACAAATGTAACTGTCAAATTCTAAATTTTAGGATAAAAATTTCTGTATTTATTATACTAGGTACCTGTTGCTTATTTTAATTTCTAGTAAAATTATCCTTCAAAAAAATTAATTACGTATATTTTTCGGAAGGAATACAACAACTAGAAAAGAAAGTAACATTTTACATGACATAACTTTGTAAGTAGTTTTTTTTTGACATTTGAAGCTTTAGTGTAGTGAAACGTGTCAGGTAAGTATTACGTCACGTCGACAGATGGCGTCGACGCTTGTTTCACGCTTTCAATGCTTGACATGTCGCTGACTTGTGGCTGAAATATCAAGCGTTGATATTTCAGCAATTTATAACTATGATGTTCCCTATTTTTTAAGTAAACACAGAGAAAACTTTTCAAAAATATAGTTTGAATCGATTTATTTTATATAATAATAATTTCCACGTCAACAAAATGTCTTCTCATTTCTAAACGGCTCTTCATTTCTTTTTCAACACTATTCCCTACTAATTATATTTCTTAAATTTAGCTACAAGTTTTGGAGCCGCTAAAAAATTGTATTTGATATTTTACATTAAAAAATATCTTGACTTAAAAAAGCAAAATGTTAAAGTTTACTTAAAGTAACGGAGATCTTAGCAAATAAAAAAATTTACTTATCCGCTAGATTTTAAATTTAAAAATCTAAATATTCACTATGCAGTAAATGATACTTTTAAATGAATAATTTAATAATCATAAAAGATCTAAATCCTTTTATAAATGTTATAAAATTTTTAGTAGTTCTTTTTAGTTTTTTGAATTAAATTTGCAGCAGTACTTTTCATATAAATCATATAGTGGAACCGTCTTAAATAATCCCTTAATTCAAATTTGCTTGTGTAGACATTTACCATTGATATGAATTCACAATAATAAATTCTTAAATGTTTTCATCGATATTTACAAAAGGATTAAAAATCAACATTAATAAAGAATATTGTGAGATTCCCGATTATCTACGTCTGATTCTATATTTCTGGAAATCTCCAATAGGAATGTACATGCTGCTATTCTTTACAAATATCCTCCAGTCAGGCAATCGCTTTCGCTTCTGGTAAAAATGCCTCCCAGTACTTCACAAGCTAAAACAATAAAATATAATTATCGTCAATACTTAATAATTTTTGGTACGATTTTATTAGTCCTCAATCGAGCGCGTCCACAGGTGACAGATGGGAAAATGCCTCCCAGATATGGGAGGAAATGAAATATCCGGTGCTGACCAAAACTAGCAGAAGAAGAGGAAGCAGTAGAGAATCTAGAAAAATCATTAGTCTAGAAGACACCTTGAATAAAAATTACCTGGCCCTCCAGTTTTGGAGATTCGGTCGAAGGATTTAAGCGAAAAATAACCAACATATGCAAAGAACAATGCATAAATACTAGAGGTAGAAATACATAAACCGGAAAAATGTTAATGAATATAAAAGCTCAGATAACTGCAAAACTCATTTAGAAACTATTCCTGCTAATGTGTGGTATTCTTGTGAAAACGTGCTCACAGAATGAAGGCAATAATCGCAAATATAATAATCCAATATTATTATAGAAGAAAAACTAAACATTTAATGCAGTATGCTTAATTGAGCAATCAAACAACTAAAAAATAGATGATCTGCTGGACTAGGTGTTATTGTGTCGATGATATGTGAGAGTAGTCAGATATGGGGAAAATTCCACCGAGCGATTGCCGGTATAAGCAATCCCCCGTTTATTGGCCAACAGCATCGGTGGAGGAGCTAGTAAATGGCAGGGCACCCTTTTGTCCTGGGGTTACGAAACTGGCTTCAAAGGCGGAAGAACCGTGAAAGTGGTCAACGGCATAGAGATGAGGAAGAAAGATTGGGACAAGACACCTTATTAAAGATCTGGATTGGATAAGTCCTAGTAGAATCAAATGGCTATGCTTGAAGCGAAATTCAATTCCGGAATAAGCTCCTCAATCAAGGAAGGTAAAATCCATAATGCAATACAAGAAATGGCACACATGAAATTAAATATGCATGAAACATGAAAATGGGAATAAGCGAAATGTGTTGGCCATGTTCAGGAACCGCAAATATCGCATTTACTATTCTAGAACAGATAACGGCAAACATGAATTGGGTGTCGGAATTATATTGACAAAAGAAGGGGCAAAATCTGTTGACAACTTCATCCCAATCTCAGCAAGAGTGATGCTCATACAACTAAAAGCAAGACCAATCAATATAATTCAAGTGTATGCACCTACAACAAAAGGAACAGAAGAAGAGATAGAAGAACTATACCATAGCATTAATCAATTCGTCAAAAGGTTGAAAAGGCAAAACCTAATAATTGTCTCAGTGACTTCAACGCCAAAGTTGGGGTCAGCAAAACATCATCTGCAGTTGGACCATTTGGTCTAGGAAACCGGAACGATCGGGGAGATACGTTGGAGATTTTTGCGGAAGCAAATCAATTAGTAATAATGAACACCTGGTTTAAGCTATACCCAAAGAAACTGTACACCTGGAAATCTCAACAGGATTCTGTGGGAAGGATTGTAAGAAATCAGATTGATTACATGCTAGTAAATAAGAGGTATAGGAACAGCTGTACATCTGTCAAAACATACCCGGGGACGGACATAAATTCTGATCATGTTGTAGGTAATGTAAAAGTCAGAATCCAGAAGGTTACAAGTAAGTCGATGAAGAAGTATGATGTTAGAAAACTGAAAGATCCCAATGTTCGACTGAAGGTGAGTGAAAACCTCAATACAAAGGTGCTAAAATGTAAAAATGCAGAAACTATGGAGGAAAGTCTAACCATCATACAAGAAACATTGAAAGAAATAAAAAAACAACATCTGAAGATAGATACAGAGAAACTAAAATCGTGGATTGACCGATGAAATACTTGAACTTATGGATCAGAGAAAAAAATAATAAGAGAATACATACCATCGTCGGAAGAAAAATAAGAGAAGCTAAAGAAAAACAAAAAACAAAACAATGTCAAGAAATAGAGGAGTATCAGAGTCAATATGATAACTTCAATGTTCAGCGAAAGGTGAAGGAAATAGCTGGAAAGTTTCGAAAATACAACACCGGAAAAGTAATAGATGATGAAGGCAAGCTTGCCATAACCAAAGAAGATAAAAAGAAAGTATGGGAAGAATACTTGGAGAAACCAATTGCACCATTGCCAAAAAAACCAGGAGCAAAAGTTTGTGAAGATTACAGGACCATAAGCCTAATGAGCCTGATGAAGTGATGAAGCTCTTTTTAAAAGTCATCCATAAACGAATTTACCGGAAATGCGAGGAACAAATTGTGCCCAATCAGTTTGGATTTGTGAACGCCGTTAGTACGAGGGAAGCTTTATATAGCGTGCAGTGAATTGTTTTAGAAATGAAGAGATGTCAGTTGTAATATTTTTGCATGCCTGATTGACTACAAGAAGGCTTTCGATAGAGTCAGGCATGAACAATTGATGGAAGTGCTGAAGAGGACAGGGATTGACGAAATAGACTTAAAAATAATATGTAACAATAAAACACCGAAAACTTTGTTTTCAAACTTCCACAAAATTTATTTTAAACTCTTATCACTACAGCTGTTTCAGCTGATTGCCTTTCTCAAGTGATCTATTTTTGGCATGCGTTTACAGTTTATAGTATCTAATGAAATAGGTTGAGGAGGGGAGAACTGTTTGTCGCAAGTTGGTCATTCAGAATTATATCCGTGTTTTTTAATTTGTTGATTTCCATAGATTCTAACAAGGATAGCTTAAGGCCTCTATTTTGAATTGGAAATCGAATTGGAAATTGAATATGGAAATCAACAAATTAAAAAACACATATATAATTCTGAATGGCCAACTTGAGACAAACAGTTCTCCCCTCCTCAACCAATTTCATTAGATACTATAAAGTGTAAACGCATGCCAAAAATAGATCACTTGAGAAAGGCAATCAGCCGAAACAGCTGTAGTGATAAGAGTTTAAAATAAATTTTGTGGAAGTTTGAAAACAAAGTTTTCAGTGTTTTATTGTTACATAAAATGAATTTCCATCAAGTAACGGTAGAATCATGGAATCGATGGAAAATATACAGATCAGGTCAAAATCTTAAGGGGAGTGAGACAGAGGTGCATAATTTCACCACTGATATTCAATCTGTACTCGGAGCACATTTTTGAAGAGGCTCTAAAATATACTGATAAAGGCATCAAATCAATGGATAACCTGGCTCAATAACCTGCGATATGTTAAGTTTGCTCATTAAGTTTAGTCATCTAGCAAACAAATAATTAAAAATAAAATATAATTGTACCTTTATAGATCTGTTGAAAGTTCGCTTATATGGATAAATGTACAAAAAAATACAAAAATCCAAACTAGAAAATTTTAAAAATTAACACACAGGAAGTCTGGAAAGGTAAAGAACTAATATTTACGATAATACGCCAGAAACAAGTCATACGCTACGGACAGTAAATAGAATGGATGAATATCGAATACTAAAACGCGTAATAAACTGAAAACCTAGTAGAAGACGAAAACCTGGAACCTCAAAATCTTAAGGGGAGTGAGACAGAGGTGCATAATTTCACCACTGATATTCAATCTGTACTCGGAGCACATTTTTGAAGAGGCTCTAAAATATACTGATAAAGGCATCAAATCAATGGATAACCTGGCTCAATAACCTGCGATATGCAGATGATACAGTAATGCTTTCCAATACCAAAGAAGGGCTGCAAAACTGAATGAACAAAGTAATGGAAACAAATAGAAAATATGGACTGGATATAAACAACATCAAAACCAAGCTAATGATCATCAGCAAGGAAAACATAACTGGAACAAATCTGTATGTGAACCAAATGAGAATTGAACGTGAATAGCTTTCAGCTATGGTGTGCTGGAACAGTGAGAGTGAGCGACGCGCACGTTCGTCAACATCAAAGAAATGGTTCTCTATGATAACGGTCTGTTAGGTTCTGCTGAGCTGAGCGCAGTGCAAACTGATAGCCTTGTACGTCGGCGGTATGCGCTGGAATCAACTGCGATTTGATTTGGATGCAGACGTTCAGCTAAGCTCACAGCTTACACATCTATAACGAAATTATAATTGTATTTTTATATAGTTATTACTATTGTAATAATTAAGTGATGTCTACTAAATTTTCTCCAGAGGAAGATGAGAGACTAGTGGATCTAGTAGTCCATCGAAATTGCTCGAAATTTTTCCTCGATTTGAAACAATCTTTCTTCGACTGTTAATTTAAAAGCACCTTCTGTATTCAGACATTGGAGTAATAAATTTATTGCGTTAAGTTTGCAAGAATTCATTTTTTTAAACGTATAACCTTTGAGAAAATAAACGTGAAACTAATTTCTAAACTTGCTTTCAGAGCGACAGAATATTTATGCGAATTAATCTAACAAACCGACTCACTCAAAACTGCCGTGAGTCGAGTACAACAGATTCTGCTGGGCACTGCGCACTGTTCTAACAAACCGTAGCTTTATTAAGCTATGGCTAAGGCCGCGAGACGACCCAGCTTTGTCGAAAAAATTAACAACTAAAAACTTGCGAAAGTGCAATAATCCAAAACATTGGAAAGTATGAACACGTCTTTAGAATAAATTCTGGTCGAAAGATCAGAGAACCATTAAGTTTAGTCATCTAGCAAACAAATAATTATAAATAAAAATATAATTGTACCTTTATAGATCTGTTGAAAGTTCGATTATATGGATAAATGTAGAAAAATATACAAAAATCCAAACTAGAAAATTTTAAAAATTAACACACAGGAAGTCTTGAAAGGTAAAGAACTATTATTTACGATAATACGCCAGAAACAAGTCATACGCTACGAACAGTAAATAGGATGAATATCGAATACTAAAACGCGTAATAAACTGAAAACCTAGTAGAAGATGAAAACCTGGAAGAAACAATAACCAAGACTAAGAGTGCATTAGATTTGAAAGAAGGCGATTGGAAGTACAGAAAACACGGAACCTGGGACTATATGTAAATAAATGCTCTAAAATAATGTCTCATTGGAACAAAAAGGACAAGTTTAGACATCCTATCTGTAACATAGTAAGTTTTTCTAGAAAAAAATTTAAGTGGTACAAATACCACATATTACGTTTACACATACCTGTGCTTGGTGTTCCATATGGTTCTCTAAATACTTGATAAACATAGTTTTAAATTCTTGGACTCTGCACTTCTCGAACCTTTCCATTTCTTTCTTTATCATTTGAGATATTCTATCGAAGTTCTCCTGTCCTCTTTCGACTTTGGACTCCCACTAAAAAACAACGAATTAATACAAATCTTAACCAAGTAACGTAAACTAACATACCTCGACAAGTTCTGAATTAGTTTGCTCCGCTTTATCATTTCCGCCTGCAATTTTCACCTTTGCTTTGTTTTCTCTCTTTTTGGCCAACATTTGCTGAGCGTGCTGCCAATGTTGGAACAACTTAGTTCTCTCGTGGAAGGCATCCCTTACTGCACCCAATAAACCCAAATAATCTTTGAGTAATTCGCAAAATATAAAGAAATCCGTATTGGCTTGTTCTATGTGAAGGGCTTCAACCTAAGGAAAAAAAATTAATTAACCATATAGAAAATCATTTCAAAGCTGGCGGGGAACCCTTGAAAGATATTGTCACTTTTTTCTACATAGTTATTGAATTGTAAAAATACAATGGTTAAAATTTTCCGATCGTCAAATTAAATTCCAATCTTCTGACAGTTTGTTATAATAATCGATTGGCAGCACTGACGAAATCACCGAAAATTTAATTTTTTTTTACATTATCATGTAATGCTTTTAACCATGCAATATTTATACCTAAAAAATTGATACTTTCGTAAAGTTTTATAAATATGGCACAAGTGAGAAAATACACGTGATTTTGTTTGCAAAATAAAATTGCAATTTCATGGACACGGGACCGATAAAAATGTTCGACGGTTTTACTTTAAAACGACGATTGACAATTTGAATGTTCGATGTTATCATATTTCCGACTTTTATGTGAGCTGACTGATCAGAATAATCCTTAGTCTTAACTCTATCTATCTATACAGCCCTTGCTGTCCAATTTTGGACATAAGCCTCCTCTTCCTTCTTCCACGTCTCTCTATTGTAGGAGGTTTGTATCCACTTCGGGTCTGCGTGTTTCTTCAAGTAATCTGACCATCTCATTTGTGGCCTTCCACTTTTTCGTTTGTAACTATATGGTCTCCAGTGTATAATCATCTTATTCCATCTGTCGTCTTTCTGTCTTATGGTATGTCCAGCGAACTTCCACAAGTTTTACTATCTGCGTTGATACATCGGTCACTTTTGTTTTGTTGCGGACCCAAGTATTTCTTTTCGTGTCTGATAGCCTGATGTTCAGCATTTGTCTTTCCATGGCTCTTTGCCATTTTTCCAAGTTTTCTTTTGTAAACGTCCAAGTTTGAGAACCGTAGGTGAGAACAGGAAGTATACATTGGTTGAAGACTCTTGTTTTTAAATATTTGTGGTATTTTCTATTTTTTAGTATATAGGAAAGTTTTCTGAAGGATACCCAAGCCAACCGTATCCTTCTCTAGTCTTAACTATCTAACCCAATCTTTGTGAGCGGGTTTAGCTAAATGCTGAAGTAATTAATGAAGAAAGAGAAATAAGAGACTGGGACAAACAAAATGTGTAGAATGTATGAAAACACTAAGGTACAATACTCAATCCAGAGGAAAAATATTTGGTGTACATAAAAACAACAGTAAAACAAAATGACTGTATGGTGGACGGAGGAAATTAGGAGTCAAATACAATATAAAAAAGGATACATGGAGAAACGATTTAAGTAATAGAACAGATGAAAACTATAAAAAATATAAAGAGCAAAGAAAAACAGTGAAAATGTGATATTCGAAGCAAAACGATCTGGGAAAAATTTTGGAGACAAACTAGAAGAAGACAGCAGGAGCAACTAAAAACTATTGTATAAATTTTAAAAGGTCTAAGAAGTAACAAAAACAAAAAAAACGTCAATAAAGAACGAGAACGGGGATCTACTGTCAGAAGAAGAGACAAGAGATCACAACCGCAGAAAATGTCAGATATGTCCACGATATCATTCTACGAGATCTAAAGGTCTCTTTTCGTCACTTTCTTTCTTATTTTTCATCATCATCATCAACCTGTATGCGTCCACTGTTGGACATGGGTCTTCCTCAGCTCTTTTGATCTGTCTCTGTCTTGTGCGTCTTCACTCGGCAATACGTTTTGCCCATTCGTTGTCTGATAGTCTGGCGACGTGTCCTGCCAATTCCATTTCAGCGACGCAATTTTTTTGATGGCGTCTGTTGTTTTTGTTCTACGACGTATTTCTTCGTTTGGGATTCGGTCTCTCTAAGAGACACCCAACATCTGGCGTTCCATAGCCGTCTGAGTCACGCGAATCTTATTCACTACCTTTTTTGTGAGTGTTAATGTCTCCATAAATGAGTACAGGCAACACACGTTGGTCAAAGATTTTCCTTTTGAGGCATATGGGTAGGTTCGATTTAAATACATCGTTTAATTTACCAAACGCTGCCCAGACTAATCCTATACGACGTGTGTGTTCACATGTCTGGTTATCTCTGCCCAACCGAATTTCATGTCCCAGGTACTTATACGATGCAGTCTGCACAATATCCCCTCCATCAAGAGAAATGTATTGCATTCGGTGAAACGCCGAATAATTATATTTCCACCTAGTTTAATCGCTTCGATTACTACTCCGTCATCGCCAGGAGATTTGTTATTTTTCATTTCCAAAAGTGCCGTTTTGATTTCATATGGAATAATTTCTGGCATAAATTCTGATCCTTGGATTGTAATTTTGGGCAGGGGCTGATCTTGCCTTTCGTCGGTGCTCTCATACATTTCGCGATAAAAGGATTCGACAACCGCGGATTTTGGTTCTATCCGTAGTAATGTTTTGTCCATTTTTGTTTTTTATTTTGTAGGAAAGAGGTGGGATAGTTGATCCCGGTGGGATACTTGATCCCCGTTTAAATTTGGCGCACAATTATATCCTATTACTGTTCTGTTGACCCACTTGGTAAAGGCTGTACTGTTTACTTTGTTTTGACAAATGGCTGCTACTTCAGAACACGCTTGACATTTTAATCAAGATTATTCTATTTTGTGACATTGAAAGTTTATTTTACGCGTGTGAGGTAAGTTATAACAACTTTAATTCGTTTAGTTTATAATTATACTGCCCAAATAAGTGCAACATTTGTACTTTTATCCACTAAATACCAAACATTGATATTCAAATTGTAACTGTTTTAACATAAAACTTGCACTTGGTAGAAAAATGTGATTGCAGGGATAGATGATGGGCTATTAAATGGGGAATACTTGATCCCATTTTGTGTTTCTTTTAATCTCGTGTTTAATGTAATTCATTTTATTCATGTTTATTTTTTCAGATGCCACGTAAGTACTCAACTAAAATAGGAGCAACGAAAAGAGTTCCACCTGATGCAGAAAATGTTAAAGCGGCTGTAAATGCGGTAAACAATGGAGGAAGCTTAAAAGCATCCGCTAGGCAGTTCGGAATAAATGTCATGACATTGAAGATCCGCTAGGCAGGTCGGAATAAATGTCATGACATTGAAGAGGTTGTGCAGAAAAAACATGATATCTCTCCCAGGTTACAAGGTGCGCCAGGTTTTTCACTTGACCAGGAAAAAGAACTTGTATGTTTTCGAAAGATATGTCCAAGATGTATTACGGTCTTACTGTGGTGCAATCGCGTAAATTGGCATACTCCTATTCTGCAATAAATAGGATATCATATCCCCCTGCTTAGGATAAAACAAAACAAGCTGGCCGCGACTGGTACCGAGGTTTTCTTGATATAAACCCTACGCTGTCATTAAGGACACCAGAAGCCACAATCTTGGCACGAAGCTTAGCTTTTAATCCTCACACAGTTGGTCTTTAATCAATTAACAAATGTTTATACACGATACCAGTTTCCTCCTGAACGTATATGGAATATTGATGAAACTGGCCTCACTACAGTACACAAACCTGCTAAAATAATTGCTGTGAAAGGGTCGAAGCAGGTGGGCAAAATTACATCTGCAGAACGAGGCGAACTGGTTACGGTGTGTACTGGCATCAATTCTGCAGGGGGTCATATGCCTCCTTACATGATATTTGCCAGAAAAAACTGGCAGGGCAGGTTTCTAAGCCATACACCTCCTGGCAGCAATGCAACAACATATCTCAGTGGATGGATGACTTGCTCTGGTTTTCTGAAGTTGAAAAACTTTGGAACACTTTGTTCTTTTCTCTCAGCCAAGCCCAGATCGGAAACATTTAATTGTTATGAACAACCATGAGAGCCACTGCTCATAGGAGGCTTCCAATTTTATGCTCAAATTTGCTGGGAGAACTATTACCATTTACGACATTGCAGAACTGCTTGGAGATGCGCTCCCATGAGCCATGGCTCCTTCAAATATCATGAGTAAGTTCAAAGTATCTGGAATATGGCCGATAAATCTAAACGACGAATGCTGACGACGAATTTATGACCAGCGCTGTCACGGACCGTCCAGACTCAACTTTGATTCAGGAATCAGTTCTGGATCCAATATAGCCAACGCCTAGTGCTAGTAGATCAATTTCTATAGAATCAACATTGTCTGGGGCCCTAAAACCTTGCACTCCAACATCGGATATAATGTCTGTGAAACATTTTTCTCCACAAGATGTCATGCCCTATCCCAAGGCAGCACCTCGTGCCCAATCTTCTCGAGGTAGAAAAAGGGGGCGCTCTCGCATCCTAACTAATAACCCTGAAAAAGCGAAAATTGAAGAACTTGCTCTTAAGAAAGTCGCAATCAATAAGAAAAGAGCAGAAAAGCCTCCAACACTTAAAATCACTGAACTTTTCGAATCGACTGATGAAGAGGAGGATGATCTTCCCAGCCTTCCAGATAGTAGCGGTGGTCCTGATTTCATTTTAGATGATGATCTTATTAATGACACGGATCCTCAGACAGACGTACTAAAAAAACAATGAAGTTTTATGTTGGAAAAGTTTTGTGTCTGAAAGAAAATACATTGGAAGTTCAATTCTTAATGCAGAAGGGACTAGAAGGAAGCTGTTTCACTTTTCCAACAGTAGAGAACGTCAGCGAAGTGGACCGGACGTACAAAAGCTGCCGCAGCCGTCCGTCAGCAGAACGGCCAGGACTGCTGACATAAAATTTAACCATAATTTGTTTCATTGTTTAATTTAATTACCTTTCATAATTGACAATAATTACTTATGCTATGAATCATAGGTGGGATACTTTATCCCAGGGATCAAGTAGCCCCCTCACGGGGATCAAGTATCCCTCATGTACAGGGGTTCTTGAACCGCACTAGTGTTTTACAAGAACTGATCTACCTTATTTGTTCTACAAGAAAGAGATTCTAGGTGAACACCCAATGGAAGGAGATAACCACATTATGAACCTGTTTAATGAAATTAAGAAAATAACTATTATGGTCTGAAAAAATCTTTAAACGCTTAAACAGGGATCAACCCTCCCACCTCTTCCCTAAATATTTTTGTTGCCTATGTTACGGCTCAAAACTTTTAAACTTTTGTTTTCTTGAATTATTTTAGTTATTCCTCTTGTATTGTTTTCTCTTATGTCTTTACGGATTGATCGGTGGATATCTGTATTTAATTTTTTCATTGTTGTGTAGTTGGAGCCGTATTTTTCCATCAGCTGTCTTATTTTACCTATTAGCTCTTTGGTATTTTGGCTTAGTTTTTCTTTATAAGTCAAAACGATCGGGCAGCACTCCCTTTCAGCTTGATCTACATCTTCCATTTCGTCTTGCAAGTCTTGTATACATCTGCTTAGTACATCTTCATACAGGTACATACATACATACATCAACATACATACGTTGTTTTCTCGGGGAATCCATTTCTTTTTTCTTATTTTTAGGGTCATCTTTGTTCTTTCCAATTTGACATTTAATTGAGTCTTAGCTCGGATTAATCTGTGGTCGCTTTCTATTGAAAATTGTTGAGTACTTCGATGTCTTTGATTATTTATTTTCTCTTTGTTATGATATAATCTATTTCATTTTTGACACTGCCATCTGAGCTGATCGATGCCCATTTACGCTGAGGCTTTTTATTGAAATAAGAGTTTATCATTGATAACTTTTCCTGGTGTAAGAATTTCAACAATCTTTGCCCTCGTTCATTTCTTTCGCCATATCCATACGTACCCATGGCTACTTCTGCATCATCTTGTTTAAACCCCATTTTCACATTAAAGTTGCCCATAATTATTGTACAATATGCTGATGTGGCATGTAACGTTGTTTCTAGGTCTCATGAATTTCTTCAATTTCTTCATCCGAGTGGGTAGTTGTTGGAGCATATGTCTGGAGTACCTTAAGGTTTTTGGGCTTCTCCTCTTTGTCTTACTTCGCTGAGGCCGATGATGTCCCATTTTATTCTTTTCATCTCTTTCTCCACTTCTCACCATATCATCTTCTGGTGTGATATAAGAGTTCTAACATTGTATGAAGTAATATGCAATTGCCACTCTTTGCATGGAAAATAACTTTTGGGGTTTTAAACCATTAAAACGCCATGCTTGGCTACTGCGTGTTGGTAGGAAGTGGAGGGAGGAAAGGGTGGAGATGGGAATGCTTTGGGTTTTGACATGGCTTCCACGGGGATGGGAGGCTGGGTAAATCCATGAGCTCGCGTGGTTACTTGTACTGTTCCTGAAGCAAATCTATCCCCTGCTGGGATCGCAGAGAAGTATCACCCCTCTTTTTGCGTCACAAGAAAACCTATTTTTGATTTCATGCAGTTCAAAATATTTCATCTAATGTTTTAGTTACGCAAAAACAAATTTCGAAACAGTCGAAGCAAATTTATTCTAGGACGCTATCGAAATGTTGGAGCGTCAAAGGAAAAAGTGTGTAGAACTGAGGGGAGATTATGTTGAAAAATAAAGGTGTAAAAATGTTCTTGTACTATTTTTAGGTCAGCGGCGGACCATAAGAATCCATCCTTGTATACATTGAGCAATAAAAAGTTTGGACAATACTAAGATTTTAAAATTATATACAAATTATACTAAATAATTGTTTACATTGTAACACTATAAAAGAACCTACCAAAACTAAAATTGAACACAATGATTTTTAACAAAATCCAGAGTAAATTATTTTAAGTTCATAGCATTATCATTAAATAAAAAAAAACTCACCTTCTCTTCTGTATCAGCCAGCTGAGACAGAGCTCTAGAAAGAGAATTATGATCTTCACAAGCACTCAACATAGCAGCGGATCTGGAGACACCATTAGTTAGATTGGCTAGCTCTTTTCTGTAAGACACCATTGCTTCGACGCTAGCATGAAGTTTTCTCAACTGCATTTCAAGTGCTTCTACATGATTTAACTTCTCTTCGAACCACTAGAACGATAAAAAATTTTTAGAGTGTTGAAAATATTACAACTAATTTCAGTACTGAGATATAATTTAAAATTAATCATTTGAAAATATTATATAGCCATCGAAAAAAATATTATAATTAGAGTAGCCTATACTATAAAAATTCATTTAGTTGGCTCCATTTTAATCGGTCCAGTCAATTGTAAGGTTTCTAAAAAGTTCTAAAGCATGTGGGCATCCTTTAGAATATTTTAAAATACTTAAAATTAAAAATTCCAGTGACGCCATTGGTGTATGGTGAAAAAGTGACTACCTCCGAAAATTAAATTATGCAAATAAATGCTAATCAAATCTTAGATTCAATATGGAAATTGTAAAGTTTATGCACAAGAGTTTATGATCAAATTTATGAACAAAACAAGCAAGTTAATAGTGTAATGCAGTTGATGTCAAGCAGGGGCGGATTAAGGATTAGGCAACCTAAGGCTTGTAATTTTTGATGCTCGAAAATTAGGTTTTTAACTTTAATACTTAATTTTTATTTAAATGAAAAACGGGTATAATATATAGCAAAACTAGTAGGATTATCGACCGAAACGTAAATAACAATTGGTATGCGGTCTGTTATTAAAAAAAAACTCTTTTTTCTTTTAATTCTCTATATTTCGCTGATTTTATGTCAGCTTCATCAGGAGACAACTAAAATATGGTTAAAAGTTATATAAAAATTAGGTAAGAATAAACAATGAATCACTTACAGTAACTCTAAATCTGTAAGTATGAGATAATATAAGTATGAGATATAAGTATGAGCTCACAACCTCGAACCGGTCAATTGTGGTTATGTGTGGATGATTGTTGTGTAGTCTATCCACTATCATGATCTTTGTCTTTAATATGCTTAATTGCAGACCAAATATTTGACTTTTGTTTTCGATCAGTCGTATAAGTTCTATCAGCTCTGCTTGACTATTTGCAAGAAGGGCTGTGTCATCTGCGAAACGTAGGTTGTTTAGTTTATGACCATTTATTGAGATGCCCTTTTCCCATCCTTCAAGTGCTCTTCGCATAATATACTCCCCATATATGTTGAATAATTGTTGAGATAGTATACATCCTTGTCTGACACCCCGTTCTGGATGAAACCCATTCGAAAGTGTGTCAAGTACTTTAACTGATCTAGTAGTGTGTTCATATAGTTCGGTTATAAGCGTAATTAAATGTTGTGGTACGCCTACTTCTTTTAGTATTCGCCATAAGTGTCTCCACTTTACCCTGTCGAACGCTTTACGGTAATCTATAAAACAGATGTATAGTGGGATGTTGAATTCCCTAGATTTCTCGATTATCTGTCTTATATTCAGCAGGTGTTCTCGAGTGCCTCTACCTTTGGTAAATCCAGTTTGCTCTTGTGGAATTTCTCTTTGAAGGAATGTTTTCAGTCTCTCATTGATTATATGTAGCATTATCTTGCTGGCATGGGATATAAGAGAGATAGTTCTATAATTGTCGCATTTATGGAAGCTGCCTTTTTTATGTATGGTCGTTATTGTAGATTTTGTCTAGTCTTCAGGCCATTGTTTGGAATGCCATATTTGGTTACAGAGTAGATGAAGTAACTTTACGCCGGTTTCTTCTGTGGCTTTAAGCATTTCTGCTGTTATCATATCTGGACCAGGTGCTTTGTTATATTTGAGCTTGTTGATAGCCAAACGCCAAAACACCATATTAGCTGTTGTAAATGTCGAAGAAACCTTGCCCAATTTTTCACGCTACATCGTTTGCTGAGTGATATGGATTTTGTGTTTATAAAACGTGGCAGAAATTCGATTTTGATTAAAAAACCAGAAATCATCTCGTGAAGTCATCGTTATTTACGCGCAATTCGTAAATACCATGCAGAAGGATACAACATAGTGTATTTGGATGAATCATAGGTAAATATCGGGCACAGTGTGAAAAAAGAATGGGTTGATAAAACAATTACATCTCATCGCGATGCTTTTGTTCGTGGTCTGACAACAGGATTAAAAGCTCCAACAGCTCGTGGTGCACGGCTCGTTTAATTTCACGCAGGATCTACCAGTGGATTTGTTGAAGGAGCAGAGCACACGTTTTTGGCAAAGAAAAATACTCAAAACTACCACGACGAAATGGATGGACCGACCTTCGAAGATTGGTTCGAAAATAACTTAATGCTAAATTTGCCAGAAAAAAAATGTTGTGGTAATGGACAATACCTCCTATCACAGCAGAAAGTCAGAACAAATTCCCAACAGTTCAATACTAAAAAAAGATATTCAAGAATAGCTTCTGTCAAAGGACCTATTTCTTGAAGAAGACTACCTAAAATGCGAGTTATTTGATGTAGTCAAGGCCTTCAAAGCAAAATATGACAGGTACATAATAGAAGATATTACCAAAAAGCACAATGTGAAGATTCTGAGGCTCCCACCCTATCATTGTGAACTCAATCCCATCGAAATGGTTTGGAGTGAAGTGAAACGGTCTATAGCTGGATGCAACGCGAATTTTAAAGAAGATGAAATGCGAAATTTAATTACAGCAGCGTACCAGGTCATTATGTCAGAGAAATGGAAAAACTATGTAAACCACGTAATAGCAACAGAAAAAAAATGTGGGAAATTGACAATTTGTTGCATGATATCGAACCAATTATTATAAATATAAATAACGGAAATAGTGATGACAGTGACGATAATAATGATGATGACGATAGTTAAGCAGAAACTAAATGTGACGGCGATTGATACAAGAAGGAACTAAATATAATGGTGTACAATTACGATTACTTACATACGAAAGTAAATACAACGACTTCTTTTATTTTCAACTTACTTATTAGTTTTATTTTCGGATATTTCTACGTTTTGTTACTGCCAACATATACAGTGCGGTTTTTAAAAGTCCTTCGCCCCTCAACTTTTGAACGGAACAATACATAAATAAAATGTTTTTTTATATTTTAGTTTTATTTTATTCGATTTTATTTAAATCTATAAACAAATGGTTTGTATCGCTAGCACATACTGTAGAATTAAAAACAAACTGCTTGTGTGACATAAATAAAAATCAAAAGACTGATATGTTTTTTTCCTTCCTTTCCTTTGACATAAATAAAAGTTTTGTTTTTTTTTTTTAATAAAATAAAATTAATTTCTATTTTACTTTCATTGAATCCAAGTATGTTGTAGCAAATATTATGTTTGAGAACCACTGAGAGAAGGAAGCCAGGCAGGGTCGTTAGCCTGGCTAACGACCCTGCCTGGGCATTAATACTTAAGCTAAACTCAAAACAAGATTAGGCTAAGTAGTAAGAAGTGACGTTTATTTTAATACTAGTTTGTAAATAAGTATGGCATCGATGTTGTGCATTTACCCTATACAGACAAGTCACTTTGAGACAATCTATATACATATCATGTTACGTTTGCAGCAACTTTTGTAACCACTCAAGTTCTTATTTTAATATTAATAACTTGTTTTTTTAATAGAGATAACAAAATACTATTTCTACATTAATTTTTAGAAAGAAATTATCGTTACTGAATTTTTTTTCATGTATTAATACTATCATGTTTACGATTCCACGAATGTTAACATTTTGAAATCTATCAAATTCTATTTTATTTATTGTATGACTCATGTTCATTTATTTTAATATTTTTATTGGTGTATAACTTTCATCCAGATAAAATGTTTCGCTTTCATACATTACTTTGTAAATATAATTGTTTGTTCTTCCAGTTACTACAATAACAGTAAACAGAGAGATAATACTCCCATAAAAGATTACAAACTAATCTACAATAAACAATTTTCAAACCATATCAACAAATTTGTTGAATAGGTACTATATTTTTTAAATAAAAAAATTATACTATAAACATTAAAAATAGATGAAAGAACAACATAATTCTCAATTTATCAAATAGACAGTTCAATGCAATAGAGAATTGGTGCTCTCGAAGCACTTAAATTTTTCTGTAACGCGTCCATCAGTTCCATAGTAGATATAATCAGGTCAGTTGAAAAGTCTGTCATTTAAAGATAATAACACACACAATTTCTTCTTGTCTTTATCGTTATAAAATGGAACTTCCTCTTCTTCTTCAAGTGCCGTCTCCTTTAACATTTTAACTGCTCCGGGCGTATATGTACGGTATACATAAAACTGCTCCGGTCGTATACAGTGTAGGTAAAAGTTTATAGTCGGTATGGTAAAATTTAACAAGATAATATCTAACATAGATATAAAATCATATTTTCAGCGAATAGACAAAGATAACAATCATATTTCACCTTGGTCTCCCCTCCATATTTCTCATTGACGCCCATTGCGCATTAGTGAGACGATTAGTTCCGATCAGAGATATTTTACATAGCTCTGGTTCCGATCCTAATATAACTAAAAAACTAGAGGTGGGTCGTTGACATTTTTATCGGAACCATTTTTAGTAAACTGTAACTAGTTGATTGTTTACCAGTAGTTTCAAATAAGCGAGTACACAAACAATAATATTGGCTAATATCGTTTATGTGTATAAGTACTGAAGTGAAAGAAACTAACGAAGGATATATTTATTATAACTTGAAAAATAAATTAAACAATACAAATAGTACTTACATCTACATTAAACATTATTAAATCGCGAATCGTCTAAATTGGCATTTAAAAACATAAGTTTTTCCACCTTTCTTGTTAACCGTGTTCTTTTATTTAAAATTAAACCAGATTTTGAACATGTGTTCACAAGGAACAGATTTTGTTACAATACTACAATATTTTATGCATATAGTGGTTAAGTTAGGATATACATTGCGATGGTTTTTCCACCGCTGTAATGGACAGTTCCAATCTCCGTTCGAATTTTTTTGTGGGTAATATATCATCAGACAAATACATGTCGACTTCTTTTATATCTCTCGATACAGGTGTATGTTTAGATGAGTTATGTCCAATTAATTCATCAAAAATACACCATGGACTTATCTTTATCAGTTTCTTTTTCTTGTACTGGTTGATTTTCACTAGTACAATCTTTTTTTTTCTTTTTTTTTATAGAAATAACCAGCATCTTAACTGTTTCTTTTGTTATTTATAATTAGGTATTCTGATTAATGAATGAGTTTCGATTTACAATTGATCTGCATTTTCGATTTCAAATCTTTATTGATAGTTCGTCAAAGGATTTATTTATTGTAAATATTCAATTAAGAATTTTTTTTCTTAGTCAAAATTATTGACCTAGTATAAGAATAATAATTTTATTTTCAAAAAATGCACATTTGTAGAAGATGCAGCTTTTATGGTCCACTTTCTGAATATTGCAATAACTGAAACTTCTCTTGACGCATTTCTGTCCGTTTCGACTACTTCTACTACAAGTACTGGCATATTGCCACCGCCACCCAAGCGTCAAAAGGTGATGGATGCTTCCATTAACAAAAATATTAGTTAAGAACAAAAGAAACAAATAGGTATGGATTTACTAAACCTATGCAAACACTCGTTTCATCCGTTTTCCATAGTTGAAGAACGAGCTTTTAAAAAGTTTGCAGGGTGGATTCCTGGATATAAACCGCCAACAAGAAAAACTTGTTCATTACGTCAGGTTCATTACTTCAGGAAAGTTATATCAAAACTAAGCAAATTATTAGATCACAAGTTGTTAAAGAAGTACAAAATATCTGTATTACTACTGACCTCTGAACATCTGGAGTAACTGAGAGTTACATCGCATTAACAGGAGAATATTTAACCGAAAATTTAGAATTTAAAACGGTTTTATTAGGCTGCTGCCATTTTTCTGGAAACCATAATTCAGAAAACATCGCTTTTGAAATTAGTGAAATTATTAATCAGTGAATAGAAAAATTAAAAAAAAAACTGTTCTCGTATTACTAAATAAAGTAAATTTCGTAGAAAATTGCTCACAAAAATGCAGCAAGATCTGTGTACTGATACTGAAAATATAAACTTTCATAATTGAAGAATAACATAAATCATACTAACAGTAAATAAGACTGAGAAGTATTTACATATCTTTACATAGAAGTATTTTACATATCTGATGCCATTAAGATCAAGACAAAATTAGTCTAAACTTTAGAGAATTCACTTGCGAGCAATTGGCAAAAAAATAATATAAATACTTTTACATCTATATAAGATTTTTAAGATTATTATGGTTACCTCCAAAAATGTCTTCAATATAAAACAAATAAAACAAAAAATCAGAAAATAGTTTCTAAAAACTATGTTATTTAAAAATTTTGCATTTTCTTTTAAAAACCTCACTTGACATACATTTTGTCACTGCTATTAGTACACAATATTAAAAACTATGTATATAAAAGTTTTACTTACAGGATCAGTTTCATCCATTTTATATGTTATTTTGTTAACTGTTTCTCCTACTTTATTAAATAACCTCATGACACCAGCACTACTCAGAGCGGATGTACTTGTTGCTTTTGGTAACTCAATATCTAAAACAGACGCATTGGTATAGTAAGTTTATTCAAACAATTTGAAAAACCACTGTACCTGATTCAAGAAAATCTCGAAAATCTGGATCTAAAACTAGGACGGGATGCTGAGCGGTTCTCTTAAGATATCGTTCTAGAGAAGCCCTTCTTCTTTCGACGAAATCGTTCCCGTTAGTTGTAGGACCATCTTGACTTGACATCTTTATTTTGGTCATACCTTAATTAAACAAAAATAATTTTTACATCATAAACATAGAAAATTATACAACCTATTCTAATTATTGAGGAAAATTATTTTTAATCAATTTTGTTTCTGAGTAGGTATTTTAAGAAATGTGTATTATACATCAATTCATAATAAATAAATGTTATATTTGATATAATTATTTATCATTTTCCACTAGCTGCCGTAGAAATTAGTGTATTTTACAATACACTAATTGCTATGATCCAAACTAACTCAAGTTAGCTGTGAATCTATTGTGTCTTTTCATAAGTTTGTCTAATTATATGCAGTGTTTGTTTGGAAAAGTAACATGTTAACTAAAAGGGGACACTTGGGCGATCCCATACTTAATTGGTCATACTTAATCAATAACAAAGGTACTGGGTGTTTGATCTATTTTTGCCAACTTCTTATTTAATTCATAACTTTTTAACCATACTAAATATTTTCTTTAAATTCGGCATGTGAACAAATACTCCAAAAATCAAAAACCAACACTCTGTAAATTAAATTTTTAAAAATGAAGTTTGCAGTTGAAAAAAAGGATGAAAAACTTAATTTAGTGTTATACTTCAAATTTTCAGCAAATTTTTTTTTTTTTGGTAAAATTTTGAATTTCAATGCTGAAATTATGTAAATTGCAAGAACTAGAAAAAAAATTAAATGCCACAATTTTAATTAATACTATTATTTAATCTAAAATGGTAAAATTTTAACATTTTGGTGTTTTTTGTATAAAGAGCCCACAAAAATACATTATTATCCAGATTTAGCCATACGGCTCACACTCCCTCTAAGGGGAAAATGGTACCTACGGTACCAAAAGGATTGAACTTTGGGGGAGTCTTTCCGTATCATCAACCCCTAGGTGACTTGGTATGCTGGGTATCTACCAAAAATGTTCAAACACATCTGGATGTCACGAGGAGTACAGCTTTCTACATGGTCTTATAGAGATGTTCATTTAGACCCAGTTGTTTTATGTTCTCTAGGAGGTTTTTGGGAATAACACCAGTAGTAAATAGAATAATAGGTACTGTCTGGGTATTTTCCATTCTCTATTATCTCCTAATTTGGGGACCTTACTATCAAACATCTATAGAAAAGCTTGATCATGTTCAGCATAAATTTGGTAAACACTATCATTACCATAGTGCTTTTCATGACCTCTCTGTCCCAGTTATAGTATGATAGCTGATCACTTGAAAATGGTTTCTATGAATCGGCGAAAAGATTATTTTTGCCTTTACAAAATTGCTAATAATTTGATAAATTGCCCTGAACTTTTAAATCGATTAGGTCTTAACACTCTTCATGGAACTAGGCATACTTCATTATTTCATCTACCATTTCATCAATTTAATTATGAATACTTCAAGCCTCTTACTCGTATGGTGAGACTAAATATAATAGGTGCCAAAGTGATCTGGACTTATTTCTCCAGTCCTTAGAACAATTTAAAAATGTGATAAAGAGACTGCTATTTGTGTGATATTAGTTTGTATTCAAGTTAATTATTAGTTTTTGTCAAACTTTACTAATTATTTTCCAATGTTATGCTTATAGTAGGAGATCCGTTCTATTATGTGCCACTGGTTGGTCTGTGAGCACAGTGCTGTACCAGTATAGCTTGTACTTGTCATTATCAAGCATTCTATCAGGGATGTATTGATAATAAGGAAGATGGTTGGTTTGGAGAAATTCCGGGTTTGTCAGGTTCTGACAAAGGTTCTTTAACAATATATTTCAGGTAATTTTTAGTTGAAATAACCTGATCCTGAATGAAAGTAGAAATCCCTCTGATCTCATTAAGATGTCGCCCATGCAGTGGTTTACTCATCAAGGTGCGCATTTTTTCATGGTTAGTCAGATATTTTATGTGCATTGCTTGTTCCCTCAGTTAAGATGGCATTGTATCAGCAACTGCACATATTGCTCACCTATGTACATAAGTCCTCTTCCTCCTTGATACTGTGGTAATGCTGTCCTCTTTACTGCACACTGAGTCAGAGGTGTATTTGCGCCTTTGTGAGAAGTGTCCTTACTTTCCACTGAAGACTCTCTATATCCGTTTTTGACCTTATAATACGAAATGAGTAGCTCAGCGAGGAATAGGCGTACATATTTAATGCCTTAAACAAATAAAAGATATGACCGATTTAATTGTCTTGCTCTTTGTATGAACTCAAAAATTAGTTTGGTTTTCATTTGTTTATGGTCAATTTTCTGTGCTTGCTTTACTCAGAATTTAGCATCAAATATAACACTACTGTTGTTTCGAAGCTTAATCATCTGAGTCAGTAGAGTTCAGCAACTGAGATAATGGGTTAATCTCAGAACCAAAGTGTATTCAACAGGTCCCTGGAAAAGGCACTGGTTAATTGGGATATCTTCAGTTTCGATATTGGTTTCACCAGGTATGTGAAGATGAATTTTAGTCTTCCACTCTGCAATTATATGCTTCAAAACGAACACTAGATTATCATTGACTTTGTATATTTTCAATATATCTATAAGTCATTTGGGTGGCACTGAATCAAAGGCCTTCTTACAGTCAATGAAGGCAGTAAAGAGGTTCCTTTTTTGGTGTATGCCTGGTTAGAAATGACTGAGTTGATAATAAGTTGTCCTTTGCAACCCATGGAGACCTTAGCACATCCTTTCTGATGAGGCTCAGAGTGTTGGTAGATATGCTGGGCTACACAGGATGTGAACAATTTGTACAAAGTTGGAAGACAAGTAAAATACATCCAGTAAAATACATTATTATTATATTTTATTTTGCATTATATTTTAGTAAAATATATTTGAAAAAATGAGTGAATCAGTATATGAATATGCTGGGAGAAAGCAGCTCAATAAGAAAGAGATAAGTAGTAAATGATAAGTAGAAAAAGGATCTTTTTATACAGGAATAAGTGTTATAGTTTACAATCCCATGTAAATGATGAATATCAATAAAATTTTGCATTCACATTGTTATTTTCAATTCTCTATTGCATTTAAATGTGAAAAATTATAGCAACATAAAGTACAATGCCAGCAATTTAACCCAAATAGAGAATTGGGAATAATACATAAGGGACCAATATAAAAAAAGCTCTTGGGAACCAAGTATATTGGAGCAATCTGCAAAATACCTAAATAGCATAGAGAAAAAACATCTATGTTATTTGATCTATATACACCATTACTACTTTTATGACATATTATGTTTATGATTTTGTATGTACTTTCTGTGATAAAAAATAGTATGATACTCTAACCTTGTAATATACACTTGTTTTTAATCTTGATTTGAATGGCTTTCATAGCCATAGCTCATGCTCTTGGTTTTTAAAATTGACATGTTTTGAAAATTATTTGTATTAATTTACTTTTTAGGACCATAAATGAATTATTAGCTACTGGTACTACCAGTACCATATCATTCTCTTATTGTGTCATTACTTTACAATATAACTTAATATGCATTTCCTGTTGTACTTAATTTCGGCTTTAATTAGGCGGGCATTTCTCAATTGCGGGCACTCTAACCTAACCAAATATATTTTCCTCAAGGCACTGCGTCACAGTGTTGCCGTATTTATTTTAGTAAAATATGTATATGAATGCTACAAATATAAATTTACTTTTACGAAATAATAATTTGTGTTATGAGAAGCTACAAATTTTAAATAAGTATAAAACTTGCCGTATTTAAGGTTTAAAATATAAGTTACTTTTACGAAATTATAATTTGTATTATGAGAAGCTACAAGATTTAAATAAGTATAAAACAAATATTTTCTTTGTTTATAAAACAAATTTCTTATATAAAAAAAGTGTGTTTCTTATAAAACAAATATTTTGTAAAATCTTTGAATTTTTGTATAATTTCAATGCATTTCTATTATATACGGTAATTTAATTATTACTATTAATTTTTTTATATAATTTTAATCAATTTTATTGTATATGCATTTGATTATTATCTTTAATTTAACTAAAATCTATACTATTAATTTTTTATATATCACTTTAATCAACATTTGTATAATATTATGTGAGAGTATGAAAAAACTGAAGACTTGGCAACTCTGACACCATTTAAGCGAACGTTAAATGTCATATAAATGCTTGGTTAGGTTAGAGTGCCCGCAATTGCGAAATGCCCAATTAGGCATATCTAATAATTTGCTGTGACAAGTTCATAATTTAACTGTTACATTTTAACATTATCAAGAAATTCCGCAAGTTAACTTACCAATAACACTCTTTTCTGGTGCAGGAGGAATAATCCTACCAACTTTCAAATACTTCTCAGTTAGTTTATCATGAAGACCAAGAAAATCACTAAATCTCCTGGAGACAGCAAATTCTTTTTTCTTAAACATTGGCATATTTGTTTTTGTTGTTACTCTGTAAGCCATATAAGCTCCCATACCATCACCTATTTTCTGAGGTTCAGTAATGCTAATGTCCAAAAATTCATCTTCCTTTTCCATCTCTTCTTGTGGGCTTACCTAAAGATGAATTTAAAAGGATATTAACAATATAATACACACCTTACAAAAAAAGATAAATTCCACAGTTGGAAAACACAAAGTCATGATGTGTGGCATGTCACCACAAGAGATAAAGAAAAACAAATTTTACTATCACTCATATAATTTTAGTATCACATAAAAATATACAATGATATACCTGCTCCATACTTGGTGACAAGCTAGAGTGGTTGTTAATAGGAATATTTTCCAGTTCTTCTTTAAGATCAGAAACAGCTAACCTGGGCGGAACTGTCGGCTCGAGTTCATCTTGAACGGAATCCTGGAAAAAAAACTGTTTGTCTTTTTTTCGATATATAAATTAACACAAAAACTTACTTGATGAGCGGATACAAAAAGATCGTCGTCGTCTTTACTTTGTGCCAGTATATCGATATTTTCGAATAAAGGGGGAGGTTCTACAGGTTCCGCCATTATTTCTTTCAAAGCAATTAATTAAGTTATTATCGCAAAGGCAGCAGTTGTTTATCCAACTGTAGACTAATTTATTTTTAATGATAAAATTATATTCAAGTTATCTTTTGACACCTACTTTATTTTTGACATTGATAACAGGAATCATGTAAAATTGTAAATGTAACCAAAACGTCATTTCAAAAGTCATATTTTAAATTTTATTCCATGAATTAGATGTTTATTTTAAATAGTGTTGAGGCCAATTTCATGCAAATTAAACAAACACAATTTTTCATTTATATTTTAAAATTAATTCTACTAAATATTTATTTTAGTAAATTTTTTAACACATTCTGCTTCGACGTAAAAATTGGATGGATGGATGGATTGATTAATAGAGTATTGAAAGCAAAAAGTTTTATTTTAATGATTTAGATAGGAAAATAAGTAAATACAGCGATTCCAATCAATTAATGTTTTATTTTAAATTAAAAAGATATGAAAACCAAAAGTATTATTCTGTAATATTGGCAACAGTGACTGTCATTTGAATGAATTTGAAAAATATCTACTACGATATCTTTCTATTACAATATGTATCCTTAAAATTGGAATGAAATGTATTGGAATTAAGAATTAATAAAAAGAATTTACCTTTTATCTCAAATTAGTTATGTCATGTTATATAAATCTTATTTACAAAATACCCGACCTGGCTGCCTGATTTAAACTGTGGCTAGTGGCTACTCATAAAAAGTGAGAAGAACGGTCTGATTGTCAATGTCAATTTTGACGTTTGTTTCAATTTTCATTTTAATAATTTTAAAAGGGCTGCTGGGGAAAAATATTCAATTCAAAGTAAAATAAAATGTCTGGTTCGCTTACAGGCTTAACTACTCACACTAGAAAGGTGCAGAGTTTATATAAGAGATCACTTCGTATGTTAGAAAATTGGTATGATAGAAGGTAAACAATATGAATTGGTTATATTATATAATTATAAATATGGATATATTATATTCATTAAACAGATTCAATAAAATTAAGAGAACTCAGATTTGGGTTGAAGATTGTGTCAGGAATAGAATGGTAGACTTAATAAATTCTGATAAGAACAGTTCTAATATATTGTCTGTTATCTAACTGTCTTTAAGTATTTTACATACAAATTTCTAATCAGTTGCATTAAAATATTACTAGTATTGGTACTTTCAGTTCTTGACCAAGTTCTAGATTTGTAGATAAGCTAAAATATTGAATGTAAAAAACCACTCACTATTCACTACATTTTTTTGAAAATATAAGGGAGTTTTCTATAATTGTATTATCTATCTCTTGGATCTTATAAATAGGATACCCACTTTATAAAAATGAATTTTGTTCTTAACATTTTATCTACCAAGTACATCAATTTAGCTAAAGTTCACTTAGTATACTTGGTATACTCTAAAACTTTAATATAGGTCTAATATATCCATACAACTAGGTTTCTAGTTTTTATGTTGTCTATTTGTCTTTATGTTGTCATTATTAATCTTGCTGTTTAATTCCAATGATTTTCAAGAAATTATTAAATTCATAGTCATGATTCCTATTATAAGTCAAAGCATACTAGTATAGCTATATTTTTAACCTTTCAGTGCTAATGTGAATTATTTAAACATAAGTGCTAACATCCGTCTCTTGGACAGTGGATTTATAAATGCCCTATTACTATCAATTTAAATTTTATTAAAAATTTAATTACTTTAAGGGTCTTAATAAATATAGTTTTAATTAAAATAAATACAGTTTTATTTAAAAATTATATTTATGAACATTTATTTTGACAAAAATAATTCCTTAAAAAAACAAGCAGCTATTGTAAAAAGTGAGAAAAGAAACCTTTAAATTTTACTATAAACAAAAAATTGCCTTTTATTTATAAACTAAAGATAAATTTATCCATTTATAATAGCCACATTTAAACAATTCTAATAATATGAAGTAACGTTAAAATTAAAAAAGTCAATCTTTTTCTGAACATTCCACACATATACCCTTTATATGTTCTAAACAAATAAATTTATTACATGAGTAACAACTGTACTTTGTTTTTCTACTTTTCTGGCTTCCACAGTAAAAACAATGACCATCAGGTTTTCCAATATTTTGCACATTCAATGTAATATCAAACATTTTTCTGAGTGGAATACTTATCATCCTTGACATGTTTGTTGCAATTGTTCTACATTTTGCATGTGCTTCAAGCAATTGCATACCCATTGTCTCTAAAAATGTTCTAAGTGTTATGAGATGGGCCGGCGGAGCATAATTACACTTGTGTATTGTAAATGAATTTATACTAGCCATATTCAATATTGCATAAAAAATCACCATGGGCCAACGATTAGTTGATCTTGCCCAATCATAGCTTTCACACATCTTATCAATAGTCTTCAAAAAAGTTTCGGATAGAAGCTAATTTATCTGTTGTTTATTTCTCTGCACAAGTTTGTTTATTATCAAAGTGAATAAATGCCAATAAAAATTTGAATCACTCGAATGACATTGTAAGGTGAAATATTTCTGAGGAAGTACCGTTTTTTCTAAACAAGTCGCGAGCATTGAGATGATTATTCTTGAACTTTCCTGCTATGTACAACAGGCCTATAAGTACTTTTATTTCTAGTATATTCGTCTTTCTGTAGTTTCTATTCAGAGGATCAGCATGTAGTTCAATATTTATGTTTGTATTTATCACAATAAGTTCCATCATCTGCTCTGTTATAAAACAGCCCTAAATACCACTAAAGATTAATTTCTCCCTAGCACCCCCCTTAACACCTGGTAAATGTGTAACTAAATTTTCTGCTCATGTACGAATTCGCTTATTAATAAGATGCTTTCGCCATTTAGTTTTTTTATCCTTACCAAAAAAATAGGAATTCTTCAGCAAATATTTTCTGCTTCTGATATATCCTGTTCACTATCTGTATCAAGATTTTGTATCTCAACTTCATCTTCTTCAGAACTATCCGCAGAATCATTGCATTCCAATTCATCATTACTGTCAGCTTCCTCTAGAAGTTTCTGTAAATATTTTTGCTCTTCCTCATAGTTCATTTCTATTTCTAAGAAGTAAAAAAACAATATTTTGTTCACTAAAAATACAACGCTAAAAGTTACAATCCTTACCTTTAGTAAAACCACAAAAGCTAACATCTGTTTCTAAGACTGAAATTTTGTGTAACGAATGAACTATGTATCAAAAATCTTTTAAAACTAACAAGAGTTAGTTAAAACTATTGAGTGACCTGGCCCAAATATCGGAACAGATCATTAATTATCGGTATAAATAGGTTCGCTCCATCTATGAGACCATACATTAGCACTGAATGGTTAATATATTTTCATTAGGTACAGTAATAATGTGATTTTAATTAATTACTATTAAACTGGGAATAAGCCACAATTAAAGATAAAAATACGTTTATTGACGTTTCAATTTCCACTTCGGAAATCGTTCTCAAAATACAAACAGTAAATTAAACAAATTTTGTTTTTTGTTACATAGTGAAAAATTCTTCTAATAATTTAATTTTATCTGACTCATTTATATTGACAATTCAGACATACATTATGCATTTTAAAGTAGATGACTTTAAAATGATATTGCCAATATTGTTGAGTTGCGCTCCTGGGACGACTTTACTTATAAGATAGTTCATTCGATTACATGAAATCAACTTTAACTTGAGAATATCTGTCAGAAAAAAATCATAGCATGTAATTCGTCTTTAAAAAGACAAACACATAACATGATGATAGTAAAATTCTCCTGTTAGTGATTCCATAGTAAATTATGAGGGAAAACCAGGAAAAAAACCTCATAATACTATCCCGACATTGTAAGTATTTGTTCGTGAATTTAGTTTACCTTCAACAAACATCAAAATTATGATTCTATATGTTACGTACTTTAAAAAACATAAATGATGTATCCTCTATATGTTACTGACTTACTAATACTGGTATTTTCTTATTAATAACTTCCTCTTTCAATATTGGTAACCAGATCCTACTACATTCTGCCGAAGAATTTGCGACACAATTGGCCTCATTTAGCATAATTAGAGCCGCTTCTTTGATTTTTCTTTTTTTTACCATCCGTTTCTTTTAGAACTACATTTGAATTATTCCATTGAACCCTATGTTCATTATCCCTTGCGTGTTTACAGATTTGAGATCTATCAAATTCTTTATTTTTAATATAAAATTGATGTTCACTTATTCTAACATTTAATGGTCTTGATGATTCACCTAAATAAAACTGATCGCATTCACAAGGTATTTTATAAATGCAATTCTTTGTCCTTTCTTGTTCATTGTTGGGTTTGGTTTTGGACAAAATAGATCTCAACGTGTTTGTCGTTTTGAATGTTGTTGAAATGTTGAATTTATTTCCTATCCTTTTAAGTTTTTCTGATAGTCCTTTTATGTACGGTATTGTTATTTTCCTCATATTATTCCTTGTGTATGCTGTAGGATCTCGTTCTAAGTTGTTCTGTTCTATTCGATCGATTGTTGAAAATTCCTTATTTAATTATGTGATTTTAATATTGTAAGAATAATTGAACATTTATTGTTATTTATATTTGCACACTACAAATGGGTTAAGTTAAAAGATATGTATCAAAAATGGGCTTTTCAACTTTGAGGTTTTCAAAAATATTGTTGCCACTATCTATGTAGTAATTTAATATTTTTTAACCTAGAAAAGATTTTGAATTGAGACCAAATGCACCAGAATGAAAGTTTCAGCGAATAAAACTCTATCTTCTTTATGAAAATATATCATACTCACAATATGACATCATAGTGCTTAATGAAACATGGTTGTCTAGTAATATTAACAATGCTGAACTACAAATGTTTGACTACAACATCAATTGAAAGGATAGATTTTCAGTACCAAGTTACTTTTTCCCAAGGAGATGGTATGCTTATAGCTGTCCTTAAAGCAATATCTAGCACAGTTTTGTTAGCAAGTAATAATGTTGAGCATTTATTTGTGTAAATTGAAATTGGAAGCAATAAGTTTATGATTTTCCACCATGAAGTGAATTGGAGAAATATTTGGAGTTTGTAGAGAGTGTGAAGATACTATCAGATGAAAATCCAGATCATAAGCTTAATATCCTGAGGAACTTTAACCTGCCTTACTGTAATTTGTTCAAGGATGGAATATCTTCAATGTGGACCCCTTTGGCAGGAGATTTACCTCTAGAAGTTGAATCTATACAGATCATGGACATATAAATATACAGATTCTTTCAACTTCATGTAGTTACCATAACCTGTATCAAGTCAACTCTATTAAAAATGCACACAACAATTTGCTGGATCTAATTTTCATGGACTATCTTCTTCTTAGAGTGCCGTCTCCCTATGGAGGTTGGCAATCATAATGGCTATTTTTATTTTAGAACTTGCTGCTCTAAACAAATCAATCGATATGCATTGGTACCAATCACATAGATTCTTTAACCATGAGTTCTGCCTTCGGCCAACAGATCTTCTTCCTTGAATCTTTCCCTGTATTATGAGTCTCAAAATTTCATATTTTGGTCCCCTTATCACGTGGCCTAGGTATTCCAGTCTTCGGGTTTTATAGTGGTGATTAGTTCAGTTTCTTTACCAACCCTCTCCGATACTTCTTTATTTATAATTCTATCAGTCCATGATATTTTCAATACTCTGCAGTATAACCAGATTTCGAAGGCCTCGTTATTTTTTAAATTACATTTTTTTAATGTCCCAAGTCTCAGCTCCATATAATAACATTGAAAATATATAACAGAGAATGGTACATAGTCTGATCTCCAAATTTAAATTTTTGCACGTTAGGAGTGAGTCAATAGGTGATGTATATTTTGTCTTTTTGTAATTAGCATGTACTTCGTTTTTTTAGCGTTTATAGTAATTCCCATCTCAGCACTATTCATACTCAAGCTTTCGATAAGATGTACTATGGCGAAACCATAGTACATCTTAGTAGAAGTTTCATTGACTATGGCGAAGCTGAAATATCTACAGCAGAGAGATAGTCCTACTTCATTTGGATATTCATTATCCACCTATTTCTTTTGAATTTAAGTGTGAATCGTGTGTTAATAAGCCTGGGCTGGCTGGTGATGCTTTTTATAGAGATTTCAATGTGATAAACATTCTACAAGTTGCAAGTTTTCTTTCTCAATTTAATTGGGATAATTTGTTTAAAATAAGTCTCTTGATGATATGGTCAGTACAGTACAACTTCGTTTAACCGGACTAACTGGGACCGGAAGCGATCCGGTAAATCGAAAATCTGGATAATCCGGAAATATAATAAGATTAATAAAACTACATGTGAAATGATAACTTATTATATTTACACCCTATATGATTTACGCGAGCATTAGTTTTTATTTACAAAAAAGTCATTGATATTCCTTTGTTTTAATTTTGTGTGACGTTTCAATGCGGCACGATCACGTAAACGTTTCACCATCATTAGCTCAGCTGGCGTGGTGTCTTGCTGTTGCTCCAAATACGATGATGTTGTTTATGTGACGTCGCGTCCGCGTGTGTCATCTGTGGCCGTGCGTTGTCTCCCTCCGCCTCACCCTCGCTGTCGTCTGCTTCCTGAGTAGATGTACACGCTGCAATTATTTCATCATCTGTCATAACACCAAAACCTCCCTCGTTGTCTGATAACCAATCTTGACGTCGTCGATATCAATATCGGAACAACCATCAATTCTTGCAAATATGTTTAATAATTCCTCTGCATTAACAGTGGTTTCATCTTATTCACTTGTGTGCGAAGTGCCAGAGCATTCATTATAAGGCATATGTTTGGCCACAATTTTTTCCCACATCACAAGCATGTAGATCACGTCTTTGACGTTTATACGCTTTAACAACTCAATCAGGCTCTGTTCGCCTTTTTCTACAATAACTTTGCCTAATAGTTCCCTGTGATAAACACGCTTGACAGTTTCCAAGACACTCTGATCCATGGATTGCAAAATTGCAGTCACATTTGGGGGGAGAAATTTAACTTTAATATCCCCGTTTATGAGATCTTCTTCTGAAGGATGAGATGGTACATTGTCGAGAAACAAAATCGCTTTTTCGGGCAGTTTGTTTTCTTTGAGAAATTTTTTCACTTTAGGGACGAAATTCTCAAAAAACCACTGTTTAAAAATAAAGCTGTTCATCCACGCACTTTTTTGATTTTGATACACTACAGGCAGAGATGCACGATTTACATTTTTAAGTGCACAGGGATTTTTTGACTTCCCAATTATCACTAGTGGAAGTTTATGGTTTCCAGAAGCATTTCTACAAGCCATAGCAGTTAACCGATCCTTGTTTTTTTTTTGTAACCTTTGGCTGATTCCTCAAATTTAGAAGCCAAAGTTTTGCTAGGTAAAACAGTCCCGTTTCATCCGCATTGTAAATTTGGTCAGGTGACAGGTTCACAAAATAAATAATTTGTTGAAATTTGTCCTTACATCGTTCACTGCCTGCCTGATCACTAGAACGGCTTTCGACAGTGACGGATAATTGTCGAATGCTATGCCGATTTTTTAACCGCTCTAGCCATCCCCGGCTAGCTGTAAAGTCTGGATGTGGATTTGGTAATTTTTTGTTTAAGTTGGCCACTTTCTCAGACAAAATCGGTCCAGAAATAGGGACACCACGTTCTCGCTGAGCACTATCCACATAAATAATGCCTTGTCCAACAATTCATTGTTAGCCTTTTTGATAGTTCCTCTACCCTGTAAACTGTCTTTAGATATCATCTTGAAACAAAAGTCTTCAATATTTTTCCTATTTTTTTTCCAGTCCGACACAGTTGATGTCCCCACATCGAGCTCTGCAGCAAGTTTATTTAAAGGTTCGCCCCTGTCGATTCGGTTTTTATCCATTGTAAGCACATTTCGTTTCCGTTTCGACGCCTTGTCAACGCACACGCTAACGCACGAATATCCGATCACAGTTTTACAAAATTTACACCGCACAGTACGATAGCAGAACGATTTCTTCCAGTGGCTAGCACGTGACAGACTGACTGACTCGACTGACTATCTTTGTGTCCGGGACTCGGGTCGTCCGCGACCCGAGTCCCGGAAGTGGGATGGGGCTGCGGAAGTCATTGCCCCTCGACTTTCTCTTTCCAGCGTGTCCCTAGACCGTTCGATTCCTCAAGGCAACAAATTAGTGACCGGGAAATCGCATTACATACATACATACAATTATCAAAATAATTTTTTCATTCCGGATTGATCCGGATAATCCAGACATCCGGATTAACGAGGCTGTACTGTATTTTTTATGATATTATAAAATCAACAATTCATCTTAATGTTTCCAGTTTGGTTTTCTACAGATTTCAAAGTTAAAATTATTCTTTCAAAAAAAGAAAGTTCACAAAGAATATCTTAGAACTGCGAACTTAGAACTATCCCCTGCGCTCTTTAATGAGTTTTCTGCATTAAGGGCCCAATATCTTCTTCTTAAAGTGCCTATCCGTTCCGGATGTTAGCGATCATCACGGCTATCTTTACTTTGTTTACTGCAGCGCGGAACAGTTCAGTGGTAGTCGTGGGGCCAAGGGCCCAATATAAATGCTTAAAACAACAATGTTATCGAGATTACATTGAATTAACTGAATCATCTCTCAGGGACAATATTAAAAATTTTTGGAAATTTGTTGGTAATAAAAATAGCAAACCCAATATACCGCCAGTTGTACACTATAATATCACTACTTCTACTAGTACATACATTGTTAATCTGTTTGCTGAATACTTTTCAAAAACTTAGTGATAGTGACTGTGTTTTGCAGGATAATATTTTAGCTTCTGGTGGCATCAATTTATCACAAATTAGTATATCTATTTCAGCAATTTATAAAAAACTGTGTACTTTAGATATCCACAAGGGACCAGGTCCTAATGGGCTTCCACCATCTCTTATTACACATAAATATTATCATTTCTTTTTTTTTTCTGGACCTCGTTAAAATTTTCTTCTAGTATCCGGACCCCACACAAAATTACTTGCCGACCCCTGTACTAGTGGATTAGAACTGTTTGAGCCACTGGTGTGAAATAAATGGTATGGAAATCAATGTTAAAAAGTGTCAGTTAATGGTCTTTAGCCATAACAGAAACCCCACCAACCAACTAGACTACATATTCTAAACAAATATTGTTTTTGTCTGATACTCTTATGGCTAACATTTTATACATTTTAGAGAAGTCTACAGGTACCATGCAGTGCTAATGAGGCAAAGATTTGATCAAAATAAAGATATTGGAGATATTAGAATAGCAAAAGATTTGATTTCAAAAGGAGAAACTGAACTCTTTGAAAATGCTCATTGGCATCCTAGAAAATGTAAGTATATAGAGCTTGCCACATCTAAAAACAAGTGTAAGTTTTAAAAATCACTTTCATCCATCAGTTTTAGCAATCATATAATATCAACTAAAAAGCAATTTTTGAAAATCTAGTAACTTAAACCTAGCACTTAAATCTAAATTATCCCACTACATATTCCTTGCATCAAATGAAGTGATGTGGTATCTGGCTCACCGATAAAATAAGGGGTGAAAACCATTTTTCTATTTGAATTTCCGTTTTGTAAGCGAAATTGTGGAGCAATAGTCAAACATGGATCGGAAGTGAACCAAAGTTTTGATCAAAAGTTCACCAGACACATATTTTTCCACGCTGGTCACGAATCACAAAATAAGTGTATATCTATCATAGTTAACGATTTATGCTCAGAACAGATTTATAATCAAAATCTATCATCAGTTTTTCTCATTAAATTAGTTTTTTCAACCTAACACTGGATAGATAGACGGATGGACATATAGACATACAATATCTGTTGGATCGAAATTTTATTTTGATATTATTTCTAATAGTATCTAATAGTTATTATATTATAATAACTATCTAATAGTTATATTTGAAAATATATTTTTGAGAATTCTTAAATTAGTGTAAATAAAATTTTTATCTGTTTTTTAGTCCCTGACTCACCTGGTGGTGTTGCCTATGGCAGAGAGGTTCCTCCTCCAGATTGGGTAGCTGATTATTGGCATCCTCTTGAGAAAGCCCAATATCCAGAATATTTTGCTCGCCGTGAACAAAGAAAGAAGGAATATGTAAAACTTTGGGAAGACAAGTACGGAAAAGCTTCAACCTTTACTCCACATTAAGTTCATTTTTCATTTATGTAGATTGATAGCTGTTATATAATTCTTTTAGAACCAAAAAACGCTTTTTAATTCCCTTTTGTATAAAATCTTCGAGAAAAACTTTTGTATAGTATTTATAGTCATTTGAAACATTTCACTCCGACGCGATTTATAAGGGCAGTTCAATATCACGTTTACCGGTAATCAAGTTAAAATATAGATAACACTCCCATGTTTCAAACTTATTTGAACAATTTGCGTATGTCGTAGGAGAGAGATGAAAGAAACAGAAGCACAACAAAACAGAGCACGAAAGATACATCCCCTCAAATAAATATTTGACATTGATATGATATGGAACTAACGAATCAGGTAATAAGTTTAGTAGATAAACAACAGGGTTTTCGTACTGGAAGATAGAAGTAAAAATACTCTGTTACACAGACGACGCAATATTGATAGGCTAAGATGAAGATAGGTTGCAAAGACTGGTCCACAGATTTAACATAAGAGCAAAAGAATTTAATATGACAATCTCATCTCAGAAAACTAAAACAATAGTAATCAGCAAAGAACCAATCAGATGTAAAATAGGAATTCATGGCATCAGTATTGAACAAGATGGAAATAAAATACTTTGGAATTACACAGCTATGGAGACCTGGACAAAGAAGTGAGAGATCAAATACAAAAAGCAAATAGACTGACAGGATGCCTTAATAACACTGTATGGCGAAGCAGACACATTAACACTGAGATGAAGTCAAGAATTTATAAAGCCAGTTGAAGACCAATAAAGAAAGACCAACTAAAGAAAAACTAAAAATAAAGAAAAGGTGGATGACTGATAAGATCCTTCTTCTCATGGACAATCGGAGAATAATGTAAGGAAAAAACGAACAAAGGTATAAACAAATACAGAAAGAAATCAGAATAGCAAAAGAAGATTTTTATAAAAGAAAATGTGAAGAAATAGGGCAATTGCAGTCAAAACATGATATTTTTAATGTACATAAAAAAGTGAAAGAACTTGCAGGTACACAAAAACGTAAGCAGCCAAATACCCTGTATAATGTCAACGGAAACATAATAACAGAACTAGAAGAATCTGAGCTAAGTAACATACAAGGAGACGAAGGTCCAGAAATACCGGAAGAGGAAGTAATGTACGCACTAAAAAGAATGAAAAATTGTAAAGCTCCAGGTCTAGATGAAATACCAACGGAAATCCTTAAACTAATAGAAAAAGACTCAATTCACATTTTAGTTGAACTTTTCAATAGCATTTTTACATCAGGAAAAATACCACAAGAATGGCTTTTATCCACCTTTGTTATTATGCCAAACAATGTAGTGATTACCGTACAATAAGTCTGATGAGCCATGTAGAAAATATTCCTGAAATAAATTCTACTGAAAATATTCCTGAAAATTATACACTCTAGAGTACACAGAAAAATGGAAATGGACATCAATAATACCCAGTTTGGATTCCGAAATAGACTCGGAACAAAAGAGGCGTTGTTTGCACTGAACGTTATGTCTCAAAGATGTCTTGACATAAATCAAGATGTATTCATATGTTTCATCGATTACAACAAGGCCTTTGATAAAGTGCGGCATGATCACCTAATCAGACTCCTGACAGAAAAGAATTTAGATAAACGAGACATTCGAATAATAGCAAATATGTACTACAATCAGAAAGCAGTAGTGAGAGTAGAGAACAATACCACTGAAGAAATTTAAATAAAGCGAGGTGTGAGACAAGGGTGTGTACTGTCACCAACCCTGTTTAATCTCTATTCCGAAGACGTAATGAATAGAACACTCTCTGAGCAATCCGTAGGTATTAAAATAAATGGTGTTAGATTAAACAATCTGAGATTTGCCGACGACACCGTTCTGATCGCAGAAACACTTGAAGAGCTACATACATTGGTGAATAAGATAGCAGACTGCAGCGAAGAATATGGACTATCTTTGAACATAAAAAAAAACTAAATTTATGGCAATATCGAAATCAACACAGAATGTCCAAAATTTATATATACACAATGAAATTATCGATCTAGTCAGCAAATACAAATATTTAGGTTCTTTTATAAATGAAGACAACGATAGCTCAGCAGAAATCAAAATAAGAATAGAAAAAGCCAGATCCATATTCACTAAAATGAAGAGAGTGTTCTGCGGAAGAGATTTGAGCCTTGAAAGGAAACTTCGCCTGATGAGAGGTTACGTACTTTCTGTGCTGTTCTACGGAATGGAGTAATGGACGCTGAAAAAGATTGATATCAAAAAATTAGAGGCATTTGAACTGTGGATGTATCGCAGAATCCTGAGAATATCATGAACCGAGAGAGTCACAAATGTCGAGGTCTTGAGAAGAATGAATAAAGAAAAGGAAGTCATATTTACGATCAAAAAACGAAAACTGCAATACTTGAGACACATTACAAGTGGCGAAAGATATGAACTGCTTCGAATAATTATGCAAGGGAAATAGCAGGAAAAAGGTCCATAGGAAGAAGACGAAACTCCTGGCTAAAGAATCTACGGGAATGGTATAGCTGTAGCAAGAACGAATTGTTTCGGTCAGCAGTTTCGAAAATACGTATGATCTTTCTGATGATCGCCAACCTTCGGAACGAAGATAGCACTTGAAGAAGAAGACCAATAATGACATGCCTCAGAAACAAGACACGACTACAACACAAAGAATGGAAATACTCTGAGAGATCGAAAGAGAAGTGAAGATATTAGAAGAAAATGTAATGTACAGTGTATAAACGAATGGAAAACTAAATAGAAAAAAGAATGGAATAACCACATAAGCAGAATGGAAGAGACCCGTGTCGTCAAAATAGCAAGAGATAAACACCAATCGGCAGAAGGATGTGCAAAAGATGGAGTGAAACCTTCCATAGAAGCATTAATCCACCAATGAACAAGCAGAATTGCTTATAAAGAGGAAGTATAAGATGTTATTAAAAATCACCAATATTTTACATGCCTCTTGGATGTTCGCTACCGGCAGTGAGGGTATACAGATAAGAAACGACTCATGCCAGCGCTGTACAACTAAATGTTTGTTTAGTATTTTACGACGTGTGATACGTGTTTTAAATCGTTAAACTAACAATAAAGTCTTTTAGCGACCATTTGAGAATGAGGAACATATTAACCCAGAATCGAATTGTGTTGAAAGTAGTTTGGAATTTAAAAACAAAGACCTACATTTCAAGTATTAACTTATTGTTTTGAACATATATGAGTGAAAAAAAAAAGAAAATGAACAAAACTCTGACAGAACTATTGTCAATAGAACAAGTCAACCTACAAAACTATCACTATCGCCACTAATTTATCGTATTGTAAGGGAAGGAAACCTTATTAAATCATTGTTTAAATAGAAAACGAGCGAATAATAAATTAAAAAAAAATTGACGATGTTGATAAGATTTATTCTAAAGACTGTATAATTTCTACAAGGAAAACAGGGTACCTACACTACATAGGTATGATCCAGAATGCACTAAGAGAATATCTTGGTTATGACTACCAATGTTTAACGACATTGCGAAATATTTTGGTAGACTGTGGGTTTAGATATAAGAAAATAAATATTAGAATGGTAATAATGGAGTCGCAACGAGTAGTTAAACTTCGCAGGAATATTTACATAAAACCAAGGAATATCGACAGTGCAACAGATTAATATATCTAGACGATACCTGGTTTGACATTAGCATGAATAAACAGTATTGAGTACTTCAGATGAACTCAGATATGATGACACTATAGCTAATTTCACTGAGAAGATTAAAACAATCATACCATCTAGAGGTCAAAAGTCCCAAAAATGAATGGGGATTCAATATGGGTTTAAAACTGCCCATGGTACTCAATTAGGAGCCTTTGGATAAACATGTAATTATAACAAATCTTACAGCCTATGTTAGGTTATATAACTGTTCCAGGCTGAGGTCTGAGGAAAGATAATCAACGTTTGTAGATATAGATAGCTAAGCGTCTATTCTGGCCGTAAAGAACACACTCACCAAATCAAAACTGAGGAACTGCAAAGATCTCTTCAACAAGTTGGCAAACGATAATAAAGTGTCTTGAATATGGGTGCCATGTCTAAGGGATGCCTAACAATGAACAAGCAGATTTGTTGGGAAAACAAGGCTCGACAGAAACCTTTGTAGGCCCAGAACTATTCTGTGGCATTGCCAAAGATGCTGCAAGAAACGAAATTTAGAAGTGGCTGACAAGGAATCATCAAAAGAAATGGAGAGCCACTCATGGCAAAATCCAGATTAAGAAAATAATCAAGAACATAGATAAAAAACTCTGGAACAATTTGATGAACCTCAATAAACGAGAGATTAAAATAAAACACATATACAAAATAGGTAAGGTGAATGAACCATGGTGCAGAAAATATGAAATGGAAGAAGAAATGTGCTGGGTGCTATGAGACACTGGTAAACTGAGACTTACCACAGAAGAGATCTTTAATTACGAGAAAACGGTTGGGACCACAGGACTTACTTACACAGGAGTTAAATGAAAAAAAAACTGCGTTTTGTACAAAGGTCTTACGTAGACCTAAATTCTATATTACGCTTCGAGAACATTCTATAACGCATAAATAGTAGTGGATAATACATCTTATACAAGGCCGCATTATTGATGGCTGATAAAAAATCCGTCATGCAGAGCTGGCTATGAAAAAAATGTATCTCATTTCGAGAGGGTATGGTCAAAGCAGAGCTAATGACGATAATCAAGCAGCATCGTGGTAGATATCGTAAATATGTTGTTGTTTCAAAGCCTAGTCTTTATGGTATTACTATTTTGAATTATACATATGACATTTATTATGTCGGGTATGACATTTATTATGTCGAAAGTATACTAAGCTTAATTAATAAATTATTTTACACACTATCAATTTTATTGAAAACATACAAAACTTGCTTACCAGTTAGACCTATTTAGAAGTGTGTACAAGTCTTACAGTCTTTTTCAATTCAATTTACTATTTTGAGACTTACACCGTACATT